TAATTTGCTGGCTCCAGAAGGAATGAGCTCCCCATCATGGGAGGACTGCAGGCAGATGTTGGAGGACCCCTTAGAATGGATGCTGGGGAGGAATAAAAGCCTCCTGACCACCTGGATCTTTGCGGTCCTCCATCTCCTGAAAGACTCCCCTTTGGGTATGATTGGTACAGTCTTGTCAGTGAACCCAGTTCTCCTGACTCCCAGGGTGGTGTTTCTTTTGGTCCTCAAGTTGGGAGAGGCTGAGGAATCCCTTCTCACGGATTTCCTAGCACCTTGATATTCAGATGGCCCAGTACTGGGCAGGTCTGGCGGCCAGGCTTTAGGGCAGGCCATCAGACAGGCCTAGGTTCAAATTCCAGCAGTGCCCCTTCCTGGCTGTGTGACCCTGGGAAAATTGCATAAACTCCCCGAGCCTCAGTTTACACTCCCATCAGCCCCATCTATAAAATGGGAATAATAATGGCCTTTTGAGAATTAAATAAGTGTTCTATAAAAGCAGCTGGCACATAGAGGATGTTCAAGTGAGGAACTTTAACAAATTTACGGGAAAAAAATACACCTCATTAAAAAGTGGGCAAATGACATGAACAGACACTTCTCAAAAGAAGACATACCTGTGGCCAACAAGCATATTAAAAAAAGCTCAACCTCACTGATCATTAGTGAAATGCAAATGAAGCCACAGTGAAATACCATCTCACACCAGTCTGAATGGCTAATTTTTTTGAGTCTTGCTGTGTTGCCCAGGCTGGAGTGCTGTGGTGCAGTCCCAGCTCACTGCAGTCTCCGCCTCCTGGGTTCCAGCAATTCTCCTGCCTCAGCTGCAATTACAGGTGCCTGTAATTCCAGCACCTGTAGCTGGGATTACAGGTGCCTGCCACCATGCCCAGCTGATTTTTTTGTATTTTTAGTAGAGACTGTGTTTCACCATGTTGCCCAGGCTGGTCTCAAACTCCTGACCTCGTGATCACCCACTTTGGCCTCCCAACGTGCTGGGATTACAGGCATGAGCCACCATGCCCAGCCAGAATGGCTAATTATTAAAAAGTCAAAAAATTGGACATATGTTATCAGGATTCTGTGTGCTTGCCATGTATGTGTGGCAAGTGCCGGGCACATATAAATAAGAAGGGTAGTATTATTTTCAGAGATAGTCACTGGCTGAAGCTTCTAGAGGTGCAGTCCAGAGTGTGGGTTTAGCTTCCATTTCTGCTCACTGTATGACCTTGGACATGTTACTTAATCTTTCTGCCCCTCAGTCTCATCATCTGAGAGCTAGGTATGAAATACAGCCTGTCCTCACAGCACTGCAGAGAGGGCATGATGAGCAAATAATGCAGATCAAACCTAGACGCCACCTGTTCAGCTGAGTCTGGCACATGAGGAGGGCTTGGTCGGAGGGAGAGATGATGAAGAGGATGAAGAGGATGGCAATGGTGGTGCTCTCGGTGGATCTGTTACTTCAGTAGGGCTGCCCTAACAGGGTACACGGAATGGGCGGCTTGAACGACATAAACTGATTTTCTCACAGCTCTGGAGACTGGAAATCCAAGATCAAGGTGTCTGCAGGACCGGTTCCTTCTGAACTCCATGGGGGAAAGGATCTGATCCAAGCCTCCCTTCTTGGCTCATAAGTGGCCATCTTCTCCCTGATCTTCACATGATCTTCCCTTTGTCTCTGTGTCTAAATTTCCTCTTTTTTTTTTTTTTTTGAGACAGAGTTTCACTCTTGTTGCCCAGGTTGGAATGCAGTAGCATGATCTTGGCTCACTGCAACCTCTGCCTCCTGGGTTCAAGTGATTCTCCTGTCTCAGCTTCCCGAGTAGCTAGGATTACAGGCACCTGCCACCACACCTGGCTAATTTTTGTATTTTTAGTAGGGACGGGGTTTCACCATGTTGGCTAGGCTGGTCTGGAACTCCTGACCTCAGGTGATCCGTCCACCTTGGCCTCCCAAAGTGCTGAGCCACTGCGCCTGGCCAATTTACTCTTGTTTTTTTTTTTTTTTTTTTTTGAGACGGAGTCGCGCTGTTGCCAGGGTGGAGTGTGGTGGCATGATCTCAGCTCACTGCAATCCTGGGTTCAAGCTATTCCCCTGCCTCAGCCTCCCAAGTAGCTGGGACTACAGGTGCGTGCCACCCCGCCTGGCTAATTTTTGTACTTTAGTAGAGATGGGGTTTCACCATGTTGGCCAGGATGGTCTTGATCTCCTGACCTTGTGATCTGCCTGTCTCGCCCTCCCAGAATGCTGGGATTATAGTTGTGAGCCACCACGCCCAGCCCCAATTTCCTCTTCTTATAAGGACACTTATATTCATATTGGATTAGGACCCACCCTAATGACCTCATTTTGACTTTGTCACCTCTGTCAAGACCTAATCTCCAAAGACAGCACATTCTGAGACAGTAGGGTTAAGATTTCCACATATGCAGTCGAGGTGAAGGGGACACAGTAAGCAGTGGGGGAGGTGACATTTTGCGTGATCAGATTTCCGAGGGTGGAAGAGGCACGACACAGGAAAGGAAGGGAGGATGGAGGCATCCTAGACAGTGGGAGGTCAGAGGAATAAGTGGGGAGACCCTGAGGGGTGCTGCCTGCTTGAAGGCATCTGCTTGTTGGCGACAGAGCTAGAACTTTCCAAAGCTGGCACCTCCCCCTCCCACCCTCCCACCATGTGCTCTGGAGAAAGCCAGGGGTTTGCCACATGTCCTGAGGAAGCTCATGGCTTCCTTTTGTGGAGGGAACAGATGGGGCCTGGTAGCCTCTGTGTTCACCATGAGGGAGAACACAGACAGGTGGCCGGGCTCCTACGTCAGAGCCACTCTGGAGGTGACAGCAGATGGCTGCCTCCAAGGAACAGGAGGACGTTGGCAGGACAGCTACAACCTGAAGATAGGGCCAGCCATGGTGTATGGGAGTTGTCAGTCACATCAGCACTGACCCCAAGAGCTGTCCCAAACTGCAGACCACCTAAGTATGCTGTCTGGCTCATGACTTGGGATAGAGGGGCAGTTCTCTTGGCTGGAGCTGCAAAGTAGACCAGCCTGGTGGAGCCAAATGTTCTTGTGCAGTGTTGGTCCTCAGGCCAAATCCAGCCTTCCACTGGTTTTTGTGAATAAAGTTTTATTGGGACACAGCCATGCCCATTCATTTCAATACATAAAGGAATATGCAGCTGCTTTCATGCTACAAGGGCAGAGCTGAGTAGTTAACATGGAGACCATGTTACCAACAAAGCAGAAATTCATTACTCTCTGGACCTTTACAGAAAAGGGTTGCCGACCCTTGGTCCTCTGCTTTGTAGTCTAAAGTCCTGAGTGTCAGGCCTGGCCCTGGACCTTCCTGGCTGTGCTGATTTAGAGGAATGTCCCCTGCCCTCTGACTCTTAACTGCCTCCTCTGCCAGCGGGGATTGTATTCGTCTGAAGTTGTAAGGCAAGGCAGGTGGGAGAGAACTTTACAAACTGCAGCTCACTCAAGACATACTAGTTTTTCTCTGCGTTCAACCTGCCTGTTGCCTCCTCCCTGTCCTCACATCCTAGGCAAAACTTTCATACCTGCTCCATACTGCGCTTGGTGGTGGGGTTTCCCCCTGCGAAGTTTGTCGTTCTTTTCTTAACCTGATTTTTACCTGCATAAACACGCCTGATGAGCAGGGAGGTGGGATGCACAGACCAGATGTAACTTGGTCCAGGGAAGCAGGGGTGTCTCCGTCATCATTATTCAAATGCTGCTGATGATTGAGCACACACTGTATACCAGGCCCTGTGCTAAAAGCTTTACCCGCATCACCTCATCTGAACCTCCCCATCAGGGCATTCATTCAACAGATAGATACTGAATGCCTGCTCTGTGCCAGGCACTCCGGGAATACAGCACCAGATGGCAGAGATGAGTTCCTGACCTCGTAGAATGTGGAGGCCACTCAATCAGACAGTTAGAAAATAAGGCAAAATAAGCAAAATCATGAAGGACTATGGAGAGAAAAAAGGTAGAAAATGGGGTATGCAGGGTATCAAGTAGGGTGGAGGTCGGGGAGTTGCAATTTTAAATAGGATGGTCAGGGAAGGTGACATTTGAAGAAAGAGTTGAGGTTTGTGGGGAAAGAGCGTTCCAGGCAAAGGGAACAGAAGTTGCAAAGGACATGAGATGGGCAAACATGAAGGAAGCCTGTGTATGTACAGTAGGTATTGGGATGGGGGGGCGGTTGGGAGGTCAGCAGAGGGCCCTCCCTGTGGGAGGTGGTGAGGACTTGGGTTGTTACTCTGGGGGAGATGAGTGCCGTAGAAGAGTTCTGGGCAGAGGAGGAACGTGGTTTGACGGAACTTTCTTTAACTGAAAAATATTCATTTATTTATACTATGTGAATGCATAACATATGCACATTTTAAAATGGTAAAATATACATAATTTAAAATTTGCCTTCTTAACCATTTTTAAATATACCGTTCAATGTTGAGTACATTTACATTCTGTGTGCCAACCTCCAGATCTCTTTTTGAAAGATAAACTCTCCATCCATTAAATAATACCTCCCCGTTTCTCCTCTCCCCAGGCTCCCAGCAACCGCCATTCTCCTTTCTTTCTCTTTTAAATTTGACAACTCTAAGTACCTCATATAAGTGGAATTATGAAGTATTTCTTCTTCAGTGTCTCGATTATTTCACTTAGCACAATGTCCTCAAGGTTCATTCATGTTTTAGCATGTGTCAGAATTTCCTTCCTTTTTAAGGCTGGATAGTATTCCATGGTGTGTGTAGGCCACATTTCGTCTGTCCTTTCAGCCAACGATGGACACTTGGGTGGCTTCCACCTTGTGGCTACTGTGAATAATACTGCTGTGAACATAGGTGTACAAATTTGGCTTTCAGACTTTGCCTTCGGTTGTTGTTTTGAGTGTATGCCCAGAGGCGGAATAACTGGATCATATGCCAATTGTGTGGTTAATCTTTTGAAGAACCACCATTCTGTTTACCGTAACAGCTCCACCATTTCGCCTTCTGATCATCGCACAAGGGCTCCGGTTGCTCCATATCCCCACCAACATTTCATAGCAGCCTCCTAATAGGTGTGAGTGGTATCTCACCTGGGAGGCAGAGGTTGCAGTGAGCTGAGATCGTGCCATTGTACTCCAGCCTGGACAACAAGAGCAAAACTCTGTCTCAATAAATAAATAAATAAAAAGAATGGGAATAGTGGTGAGTGCCCTGCAGGAACTAAAATAAAGGACGGGATTGGGGAGGGGGATGCCTTAGACAATGTGGTCAGGAAAGGAGATGACGTTTTTGTGTGACACCTGAGAGAGGCAGGAGCCCACTGTGCAAAGAACCTGAACAAATAATTGATAAAACGGGAAGCATGTGGTTGTGACAGTCCTCAGACCTACAGAGCACAAGGCGAGGAGGTGGGAAGGAAAGCAGCTATGAAAACATCCCAAACAGCCCGAAAAGCCTTGTGGGGAGCAATGCAGCTCTTTTGGGGCACCTACACCCAGGTTACCTTGGTCACCTTGGACCTCTTCCCCTCCGGCTGCCTCTGCCTTCCAGGTGAAGCAGATCATGGAGGAGGCTGTGACACGCAAGTTTGTCCACGAAGACAGCAGCCACATCATCTCCTTCTGTGGTGAGTCTGTGGCCTGGGAAAGTGGCTTCTTTCTCTGTGGGCTGCCTCAGGGAAGTGGCATCTTTGAGCCAATGTTTTGCTTTATAACTCCGAAGTTATTTTTGGATTCCGGATGGGAGACTCCATTGGAGAATTTGAAAATACAGAACAGTGTAGAGAAACAATTAAAAATAACTTCTTTACCCCATGAAGAGGTCAGTGTGGTTAACACTGTAGGGGTTGCCTTCCCTCCCCCTCGGCAATGTTCACACTGACCACGCTCCAAGTGACACGCTGTCTTGCATCTGAGGAATGGGCTCCTGTCCCTCACTCTGCCTGTGGCTACTGCTAGGTAAAGGGAGAGGGTAGATGGGGACTTTTTTAAAAAAGGGAACTACGAGCCCTTGACACATCCTGAAGGGTGACATCCATCTGGCTCAGCGAAGGATGCACCCAGGGCTCAGGGCGTGACTCAGCCATGTCTCCTTGAACCAGCTCTGCTCACAAGCTTCTAGAAATAACCCCATGGCCAGGCTCTTGCTGTACTTTGAGAATGGCTAGGGATGTGTTCTGAGTGTCCCTGGGGTTAGGATAATCAGTGTGTACATAGAAGTTGGAGTTGGATTTTAATTTAATAATTGGAGTGTCTCGTAATGAAGGACATGTTCTAATTCCCCTCCCTTGATCTTGGTCCTGTGGAGAGGCCTGAGATGGAAGAGCTGGTCAGCCTATCGGCCACTGTCCAAATGGCTGGGGACACCACCCCACGGGGCCCACAGCACGCTGAGCACACACTGTGACCCAGGAGGCCACCGGCCTCGGTTTACCCTCTTTTCCACCAGGGAGACCTGGACCCACCTCTGCTGCTTTCTCTCCATTGACCTTGGGCAAGATCTTTTTTTTTTTTTTTTTTTTTTGAGACAGGGTTTCACTCTGTCACCAGGGTGGAGTGCAGTGGTGCAGTCACAGCTCACTGCAGCCTTGGCCTCCTGGGCTTACGCATTTCCCCCACCTCAGCTTCCCGAGTAGCTGGGACCACAGGTATGTGCCGCCATGCCCGGCTAATGTTTAAATTTTCTGTAAAGATGGAGTCTTGCTATGTTGTCAGGGCTGGTCTTCAATTTCTAGGTTCAAGCAAACCTCTCTCCTTGCCTCCGAAAGTGAAGATCATATTTTTTAAGTGGGATGTCTTTATTTAAACATAAAACCACACACACACACACACACACACACACACACACACATACACACATAAAATTACATACATATATGTATGTGCATATATACATATAGGCATTCCCAGCTTTTAATTTTTTCCTGAATATTTTTATTTTCAAATAAAGTCATATGCAAGTCCATGTTAAGACTTGGTTGCCAATTAAAGGCTTAGAGGAATAAAAGTGATAAAATATTCTAATAATTCTGTAGCTCTATTCAAAGTATTTGGGTGGGAGAAATGGGATGGCAGTAAATGAAGCCTGAAGAATCGCCTCGAGGTTTCTTTTCTCCGTTGTTTCTTATAAGCCATTGTCAGAAAGAATTAAAGAATGTCTCCAAAGCCTGAATAGAAAGTTAACTTACATCAACATACGTAAAAGAAAACTACCGCATATGGACCGGGCGTGGTGGCTCACGCCTGTAATCTCAGCATTTTGGGAGGCCGAGGTGGGGGGGTCACGAGGTCAGGAGTTCAAGACCAGCCTGGCCAAGATGAGGAAACTCCATCTCTACTAAAAATACAAAAAATTAGCTGGGCGTGGTGGCACGCGCCTGTAATCCCAGCTACTTGAGAGGCTGAGGCAGAGAATTGTTTAAACTGGGGAGGCGGAGGTTGCAGTGAGCTGAGATCATGCCACTGCACTCCAGCCTGGGCGACAGAGCAAGACTCCGTCTCAAAAAAAAAAAAAAAAAAAAAAAAAGTACTGCATATGTAAGTTAAAAATAAGATATCTAAGAGATCATCTCCTGAAATATTTTAAAGCCATGGGCAGATTAGGCAATATTTGGCCATTCATGCAAAACAAAGTATTTGGTAACTCAAAACAAAACAAAAAACCAGAAACAAAGTGACGAGACCAAAACTTCTCAATATTCCTCCTTGCACATAGCATAACCTTGGTCAAGCTCTGTCCCCCAGAGCACTGTTCTTTAGAGCTTACATTTCATGTCAAGAGCTTACATTTAATTTTGTCACAAGAATTAGGAAAGGTAAATCTTAACAGTTACCCGACACCCATCAGGTGCCCAGTGAGAAGTACTTCTTATGTAGTCGCTTTCAATATACACCAATTACGTACCTGTACAAGTGTGAGCTCCCCGTCTCTGGGTAAGACAGAAGGTAAGAAGATCGAGAGGGCTCTCCACGGTTCCTGTGTCTGACAGAAGCTCTGGGCCATGCTGGGTGCTGGGAAGCGTGGGCAGGGCAGGGCCTGCTGACTGCCATGTCCCCGCAGCGGCTGTGGAGGCTTGCGTCCTGCATGGGCTTCGGCGGCGGGCGGCTGGCTTCCTACGCAGCAACAAGATCGCAGCTCTCTTTATGAAAGTGGGCAAGAGCTTCCCACCGGCTGAGGATCTGAGCCGCAAGGTGCAAGACCTGGAGCAGCTGATCGAGAGCGCGTGAGTGCAAAGCATGGGGCGCAGGTGGGAGCAGCTTCCCAGAGAATAGTCCACAGTCCTCCCTGGGCCCCAAGAGAGCCTGCACCCCCGATCACTCTCTTTACTCTCCATCCTGCTCCTTAAACCCACCAGACTCTTTCCCACCCCGGGGTCTTTGCATGTGCCGCACCCTCCACCAGGCTCACCCATCTGATTGTCTGTAGCTGCTTTCTTGTCATTATTCAGACTTTACGTTAGCTCAGAAAATTCCAGTCCTCACCTCATCTCTCTTCCGTATCACCCTGTTATTTTCCTCCCAGTTGTTATTGATTGGCCATCCGTAGTTACTCATGTAAGGTTTATTTGATGGCTTTCTGTCTGTCCCACTTGACGCTGAACCCCATGAGAGCAGGCAACTAGATCTGTTTTTCCCCGTTATGTCCCAAGCATCTGGGACAGTGTCTAGAACCTAGCAGATGCCCAAGAAACAATTGTTGAGTGAGTGCCTACTGGGAGCCAGCCACAGCCTGTTCTAAATGCAGTGTAAACAAAGTTTGATGGAACCAACATGGACTCTGTCTGCATGGAAGCTGCCCACCTTGTCGCCACTTGCCATCAACTGGCTCCCCATCATATCACTGTCTGATATGACGCAAGGGCCTCATATCAATAGGCATATTATATCACATTCCAATACACTGATGAGAAGTTAAAAAAAAACCTCATATTAAAGTAACCTTTGAAGGGGAGAGGTGGCTTCCCTCCCTTGTCGTGGCGGCTGGTGCTGTGTGTTGCGGGGAGGCTCATGGATGGAGTGTGTGCGTGTGAGCACCTTCAGCCAGAGCCACTCCCTGGGAGGTCCTTACTGTACAGCCAACCCCACTGTCCACAGCCTGGTCAGGGATGACAAATTTGGTTTCAACTCCTGGCAACAAATGTGATGCTGGTGGCTTCCCAGATGAATGTGCTGTGATTTTGAAGTTGTGATCGGGCGTCCTGGGGAAAAGCACATGGATTGATGGGTCATATCTGTCAAGGGCAAAGGCAGGGAAGACGCAAGCATGTCAGATGTTTGCAGTCTCTGCTGTGGGTGGTCACTCCACTTCACTGGATGAGAATGGCCCTTTTCTTGGCTCTCAGGCCCTGCCTGCCCAGGGCTACTGGCCAGAACTGTGTGGTGGTCAGAGCCCAGGATTTGGCCCTGCCAATTCCCATTTGGAATAACTTCTCAGCCAGCTGGTCTTTGGGTACCTTCCAGTCCATCTGCTAAGTTCCCAGGTGTTTGCAGATAACTTCTTAAAGGGTTAGATTTGTCGTGGGCCTTCCACAACACTGGGAGTGACCGCCTAATGGAGGAATTAGAGATGCATTTATTCATATATGCAATCATTCATTCATGAATGTTTACTAAGCCTCCTGTATATGTGAGCCACTATGCTGGGCCCTGGAGATACAGACATGAAGAGGGCCCATGCTTGCCACATGGCAGCCTCTCAATATTTTATTTTTTAAAAAATGAGTTGCCTATATCATATCCTCAAGATGACAGTGTGGAGGGGAAGACAGAAAAGTGAGCAGGGAGTTCAGCTGCAGAGGCTGACGGCACAGAACAGCTTTGGTTGGTCCAAGAGGGCTTCCTGTATGTAGGAGGAGAAGCCCTCTCTGAGACCTGAAGAGTGAGAGGGATCCGCCTGGGAGTGGGTGGGGAGGGAACCAGGAAGAAGCAGCAGCCCAGGGAAAGGCTTCAGATGAGATGCTGGTGGCCTCAGACATCTGCACATATCTCTGTCTGGCTGAATCATGGAGTGAGAAGGGTTAGTGGTAAGGAGATTGTTGGAGAGGTGAGTGGGGCAAGGTCTTGGAGCTCTCTGCCTACCATGTTGAAGAGCTTGCTTCCCAAGGGCACTGGGGAGCCACCGAAGGATCTACACTTGAAGACTCTTGGCCAGCACTCCTTTCCAGGAGAGAGAGGTGAGGGGGTATCAATATGAGAATCTGGCTTGCTCGTTGGCAGTGTAGGAAAGTGTCTGTTTAACCACATCTGCACACTCACCTGGTATTATTATTTTTTCAACTCCTGACCAGCTTGCTAGCAGCAATGCGGGCTCTTGTTGTTTAGCTGCCATTCCTTCATCTCCCCGAGAGAATCTCTCGCTTGCCTGTTGGTCCTGTGGATTTGCTGTTGTATCTATTCCCCTCCTTTATTGGTCTTGAAGGAGAAACCAGATCCAGGGCCTCCAGGAGAATGTGCGGAAGCTGCCGAAGCTGCCCAACTTGTCCCCACTTGCCATCAAGCATCTGTGGATTCGCACGGCCTTGTTTGAGAAGGTCCTGGACAAAATCGTGCATTACCTTGTGGAAAACAGCAGGTGAGAGGGAAAGACCAGACACCTGACCATGCTCTGCCGCCACCTGTTGGCCATCATGGGAATTGCACCCCCGGCACAAGCTGCTTTCTTTTTTTCCTTGACAGCCACTAAGTTTGAAAGTGATTAAATGCTTGGAACCTTGGGAAGATTCATGAGCTTAATGGCAGTGCAAGGTCTTCGAAGCATTGGGATCCTGGGTTTCTTCCTTCTCCTGTGGATTACTCCACCCAATAACTGTGTGGCCCTAGAGAATCGCTTAGCCCCTCCGTGCCTATTGTCTCTTTTGGTAAATGGCATGGAGATTCCTGATACTCCCAAAAAGTGAGAAGGGAATTTGGTGAATATGCAGTGTTTTGCAAATGCATGGTGAGCCTTTTCACATTTTCTCCACTAGCTTAATCTGATGTGAAAGTTTTATAGTACGAGCCCTCTTACGTAAGCATTCATCCATGCGTTCATTCATCCAGCAAATATTTAGTGAGCGTCTGCTGTGTACTGGCTCCAGCCTAGATGTCAGGGATACATTGGTGATGCCTGTCATGTTATAGAGCTTGTACATCATCTCAAGAGCAGCGAGGAGCCATGGAAAAATTTATTATGATGCACCTCATGGCCAATATGCCTCTCCCGCCCCCAAGAGGTGGCAGGAAGGGAGAGAGAGAGAAAGAGAAATATCTCAGAATCTCCCCATCTTTCAGAATATGAAAGTGCTGGATTAACCACATCTTTACAAAGCAGATGCTTTTATTAATATTCTTTGCCCCTTTGCAAGGAAAACCTCCATGAAAGTGGAGAGAAAAGTCCCTCTTCTCATGAAGTTCACGTGCTTGCAAGGAAAACCAGCTTACACAGTCATGGTGGTAATATGTAATGGGTGTTCCAAGGGGGTGTGGTGGTGTTTCATTTTCTCCCGGTGGTCAGGGAAAGTGTCCCAGATGGTGCAACCATTAAGCTTCCATTTGAAGATGATGGAGGCATCAGCCAGGTGATGGGATGCAGAACAAACTGTTTCTGGTGGAGGAAATACAGGTGCAGAGCCTCGTGGCAGGAGAGAAACTGCAAGAAATCCAAGCTCTGGATCTCCAAGCACGGGGATCACTTGAGCCCAGGAATTCAAGAGCAACCTTGGCGACGTAATAAGACCCTGTCTCTACAAAAAATTTAAAAATTAGCCAGGTGTGGTGGTGCATGCCTCTGGAGCCAGCTGATCAGGGCTGAAGTGGAAGGATCATTTGAGCCCAGGAGTTTGAGGTTACAGTGTGCTTTGATTGTGCCACTGCACTCCAGCCTGGGCAACAGAGAAAAGCCTTATCTCAGAAAAGAAGTCTTTCTGTCAGCCCTATGAACTATATTATTATCGCCATTTTACAGATGGGGCAGCTGAGGCTCTGGGTGGTAACTAAATGACACTTGGGATTGAACTCTGGTCTGTGGATTGTATGTCCTCTGCTGGTCCCCATCCAAACCTGCATATTCTCTCCTCTTGCTAGCAAATACTATGAGAAGGAAGCTCTCCTGATGGACCCTGTGGATGGCCCCATCCTTGCGTCTTTGTTGGGTAAGTAGTCCTGTGCACTGAGCTTCATTTAGACTCTTGGTCTTGAGTCTCAGGGGCACCTTCTCAGGGACTCTCTCACCCCTGTCCAGCCTCACCCATTGAAACGCAGCACTGTCCTAGCTGGCTGGAGGGGAGGGTAGTGAGATGGGCAGCCACCTGGTGGTCAGTGAGTGGGAGGACTTTCCGCGACAGTGGGTTCCCAGCCCCCACGTGCCCCTCAGTGGGGCCCTGTGCCCTAGAGTACACCAAGATGAAGACTGCAGATCACTTCTGGACCGACCCCTCGGCTGATGAACTCGTCCAGAGGCACCGCATTCACAGCTCCCACGTGCGTCAGGACTCGCCCACCAAGCGTCCTGCCCTCTGTGTGAGTGGGGTGGACGGTGGGGCTGTGGGAGGGACCTCACATGGGGGCAGGAAACGGGGTAGGAGCCCTCAGGGTCACTGCAGGCCTCGTCCCTCTATCTCCCCTCATGCTCTACCAGATCCAGAAGAGGCATTCCAGTGGCAGCATGGACGACCGGCCATCTCTCTCTGCCCGCGACTACGTGGAGTCCCTGCATCAGAACTCCCGTGCCACCCTGCTGTATGGCAAAAACAACGTGCTGGTTCAGCCGGTGAGAGGCTAGCGTGGGCCCAGCTCTTGCCCTGAGGGTCTCACTCCAGGCTGTAGAGGAGGAAGTCCCTCTGGTTCCAGGTTGCCAGTCCATTCTCCATCTGTCCACTCACCCATGCACAGATCCACCCAGGCAACACTTATTCAGTTGTCCATCTATATTTACACCCACCCGTCCTTACATCCATCCATCCATCCACCCGTTGTCACATCCATCCACCCACCCATCTTTACTTTCATCCATCCACTCGTATTTACATTTCATATATCCGTCCGTCCATCCGTCCGTCCGTCTGTCTGTCCTTTTGTTTTCCCACCCATCTCCCCACTCACCTGCATCCCCAGGCTCCTGTCTGCTCACTGTCTTCTCACTCACTGATTTCTGCAAAGATTTCCATGGACCGGCTATGTGCTGGGTGCATATGATGTCAAGATCTTCATTCTCATGGCCAGTATTTCTTGATGCTTCCTATGTGTCAGGCACTGTGCAAAGTGTTTTCAACTGTATTAGCTCTTAAACTTCCCAACGACCCTTTGAGGCAGGTACTGTTTTTACAGTCCTCAGTTTATCAGATGGTGATACTGAGGCCTGGACAGGGGAAGTAAGGTGCAGACAGTTATGATTTGAATTCAGGCCAGCTGATGCCAGAGTGAGTGCCATCCTTCAGTCACCTTCTCTGCCCCATGACGCGGCTGGGCTCCAGGGATGAGTGGTAGGCAAGGCATATGCGGTTCCTGACTTCATGCAGTGTCTCCTTCGGCTGTCCCCTGCCCGGGGCCATTTGGTTGCATGGTCATTGTGGTGTTTGGGAAAACCATCAGCCACTTCATCTCTGCAGTCACAGTTTTCATCACTGGGTGATGTTGAGCAAGTCACATTTCCCTCCAAGCCTCCGTGTCTGCGTCACAGTGGGTCCAAAATCCTATTGCCACAAATCTAAGAAGCCAAGACACTAATTTAAGATATACCATTTCTTAACATAATCTCAAACAATTCAAAATGCTATTTAGATTATATACAATTTTTTTTTTTGCTACTTAGAAATTTTAGCCTATACTTTTCGAAAGAGGTCTTCGAAACTTATATGGATGTAGTTTTGTTCTTTAATCTATATCACTTTTATAAGTAACACAAAGGGAAAATATCATTGAAATACATTAAGATAGTCTTCAAACTTCTTCAATTCAGAGTTCCATCTTCTCTATCACTTTTTGACTTGAGAGTCATCAGTGCCCGCATTTTTCCATACATCATTTTCTGTTCCATCAAGAGAAGGAGTTGGCAATCATCCGGGGGCCAAATGTGGCCCTCCACTTGTTTTTACCAATCAAGTTTTATTGGAACACAGCTACAACCTATGACTGCTTTCAGGCCTTGCCGGCAGAGTTGAGTGGTTGCAGCTGAGCTTGTGTGGCTTACAAAACCAAGAAATATTCCCTGTTTGTCCCTTTACACAAAACGTTTGGTGGCCCCTGACCCAGCGGCACAGGAAATACAGCATTTCTTGCAAGAATGTCCACTCTCATCTCAGGAATGTTTTTTTTTCTTGAGACGGAGTCTCGCTCTGTTGCCCAGGCTGGGGTGCAGCAGTGTGATTGCAGCTCACTGCAAACTCTGCCTCCCAGGTTCAAGTGATTTTCCTGCCTGAGCCTCCTGAGTACCTCTTCCCACTTAAACCTGGCCAAGATAAATGTCTTCTGTTTTGAAAAGCGTGATTTTCAGTGGGGCAGAGCCTCCTTCCTGGTTCTTAAGGAACCTGGGGTCAGGGATGCTTGCGCTCAGGAGGAAGTCATGAGTGTGGAAGTGGTGGGGGCGGGAGGCTTTCTCCAGCTGGATGATGTAGAACCCATCCGGGAGGCTGGCTGCAAATGGCTTTGCTTAGCATGGCCATCTGGAAGGAAGCTTAGGGTCCTCCAAGGGGCCAGGGCCTTGCAGGGCTTAACCCAACCTCTTAGTTCCGATTAGGTGTACTTGACTCACATGGGCTGGGGCCTATGTCCACAGCGACTCCAGCACCATGGCTAGACCTGAGTCCTCCTCTCTCTGCAGAGGGACGACATGGAGGCTGTGCCAGGGTACCTGTCCCTGCACCAGACGGCTGATGTCATGACCTTGAAGTGGACACCCAACCAGCTGATGAACGGGTCTGTGGGGGACCTGGACTATGAGAAGAGGTAGGGCACTGGGTCTGCTCTGCATCCCGTGGGTCCCTCCACTCCCCTTGGCACAAGGAAGTTCCTCCCCTGGGGAAGGGAGGCTTGCATCTCACCCTGCTTCTGCCCGCTACTCTGCCTGGCTGTTAGGGCCCCTTGGCTCAGCCTCCTGGGAAACTCAAAGGCTTGGGAGAATCTGGAAACCAACTGGAAGAGTCCTAGGACATGGGAGCTGGCAATGCCGGGGAAAAAAATCCAGAGGGAGAAATCTTTATGAAGCTCTCCTACGCCTGCAAATGGCAAATATTCTTCAGTCTCTGTCCTCCCTTCCGTCACTCAGTAAAACAGGAAGGCGGGAGGTATTAGCGAGTATCTGGTCCAGGGCTGTGTCTCCCATGAAATCCTGGGATTTATAAGACCCAGCAAAGGCTTTAGAGTCATGCTCGAAAGAAGTGCTGGGACAGGGGATTCCCTGCTGCAGTGCCTGGGCTCCAGCTCAGTTAGGGAAGACTGCAGGAGGAACAGAGAAAGCCATGGTGCGGAGGTGTGGCTGGTTCCAGTATTTCAGGTTGAGGAGCCTCGGCTGCTGATGGGGAGGAGAAGCAATGGTTCTTGCTGCTCTGAGTCCACATCTCATCTTAATTTTCTTTTTTTTTTTTTTTTAAGATCCAATGTGGGGTGGAGTTTCGCTCTTGTTACCCAGGCTGGAGTGCAATGGCGCGATCTCGGCTCACCGCAACCTCCGCCTCCTGGGTTCAGGCAATTCTCCTGCCTCAGCCTCCTGAGTAGCTGGGATTACAGGCACGTGCCACCATGCCCAGCTAATTTTTTGTAGTTTTAGTAGAGACGGGGTTTCACCGTGTTGACCAGGATGGTCTCGATCTCTTGACCTCGTGATCCACCCGCCTCGGCCTCCCAAAGTGCTGGGATTACAGGCTTGAGCCACCGCGCCCGGCTCATCTTAATTTTCTTTTACATTTTATTGCTTTCCTAAAAAACCTTTTTACAATGAAAAATTTTTAACCTAAAGATAGACAGAACTCAGGTACCCATCACCCTGCCCTCATGGCCACAAACCCATTCCCTCCTCCCCAGGAGTCTGAAGCAAGAGGCAGACATGATATGATTTCATCTGTAAATATTTTAATGTGCATCTCTAAGAAAATAAGGACTCTTTTCAAGAAGCATCACCAGAAGGCTATTACTGTGTTCTGTTTAATGTGAAGGCTTGGTGTGGTTAACACCAGACTTTGGAGTGATTACAAGTGTTCTCGGTTGGATGTGGTGGCTCATGCCTGTAATCCCAGCACTTTGGGAGGCTGAGGTGGATGGATCATGAGGTCAGGAGTCCGAGACCAGGATGACCAATATGGTGAAACCCCGTCTCTACTAAAAATACAGAAATTAGCCAGGTATGGTGGTGCACGCCGGTAATCACAGCTACTCAGGAGACTGAGGCGGAAGAATTGCTTGAACCCAGGAGGCGGAGGTTGCAGTGAGCCGAGATTGTGCCACTGCACTCCAGCCTGGGTGACAGAGTGAGACCTCTTCTCAAAAAAAAAAAAAAAAAAAAAAAAAAAGTGTTCTCTAAGCTGGCACTTCCTGTGGAGGAGTCACCATCTGTCCTCAGAGCTGGTCAGTTGGCAAGACAATTGTCCCATGATGGCACAATAACTCAGCTCCAGCCAGACCCTGCAGTCTCTCTCTCTTTCTAAACATTTAAATATTTAAATTTTATTTAATTACTTTTTTTTTTTTTTTTTTTGAAACAGAGTTTCACTCTCTCACCTAGCCTGGAGTGCAGTGGCTCAGTCTTGGCTCACTGCAACCTCCACTCCCTGGGTTCAAGTGATTCTCTCACCTCAGCCTCCCGAGTAGCTGAGATTACAGGAACTTGCCACCACACTCAGCTAATTTTTGTATTTTCAGTACAGATGGGGTTTCATCATGTTGGCCAAGCTGGTCTCAAACTCCTGACCTCAAGTGATCTGTCCATCTCGGCCTCACAAAGTTATTATTTTTATTTCTATTTTATTTTATATAGAGATGGTGTCTCGTTTTGTTACCCAGGGTGGTCTTGAACTTCTGGCTTCAAGCAAGCCTCTAATCTCGGCTTCCCAGACTCTAGAGTTTCTAACCAGGAGACTGTCATGGAAGAATAGGGGAGGGGGACCAGGAGTGGTGGCTCATACCTGTAATCCCAGCACTTTGGGAGGCTGAGGAGGACAAATCACGAGGTCAGGAGATTGAGACCATCCTGGCTACCAGGGTGAAACCCGGTCTCTACTAAAAATACAAAATATTAGCTGCGTGTGGTGGCATGTGCCTGTAGTCCTAGCTACTTGGGAGCTGAGGCAGTAGAATCACCTGAATGCGGGAGGCAGAGGTTGCAGTGAGCCAAGATCATACCACTGCACTCCAGTCTGGGTGACAGAGCAACACCCCCTCTCCAAAATAAAAGAATAAGGGAGGGGTCCCAGGGGTGCTCTGGGTCTGGAACCTTGTCTCACCCTCTTTATCCTAAACCTTGGTTTAAAGGCTTCTTTGACCTCCCTGCCGAGTCCAGATCACACAGCCCCAAATCTCCGTGGTAGCATTTAGAAAACTGCAGTCACACAGTGAATCTGTGCCTGTATACTACCTCTTACCCTCAAGAGCTCAGTGCCTTAAAGGCAAGGGTCCCGTCTTGTTTGCATCATATCCCCAGCCCCTGCCACAGCTTGTAGCACATAGTAGGTGCTCAGGTCAGCTTTGTGAAACGAAGCAGGGAAGTCAGACGACCTGGATCCACTCACTGGATGTTTGCTAAGCACCTACTCCATGCCAGCCACTGTGCCAAATGCAAGGGAGACAGCAGTTGTAGAAAAGGAGGGGGAAATCTTTACCTTTTCCGAGCTTACATTCTACTGGAAGACAATGAATGGGCAGGGAGAGGGGTGAATATATGCAATGGGACCCAGCCTTTGCTCCGCCCTCACCTTGCTGGACGACCTGGGGTGTGTCACTCCACCTCAGTGAGTCTCAGGGTTCCCTTTCTATTAAATGGGGAAGTAGGGCGAGATGGTCTCCTTAGGATTCAAGGCATTCCCAAGGGGTCTGCAGGGGCTTCTCAAACATTGAAGTGTCTTGGACCCAACGTCAAAGCTTTAACAGCTTGAGGAGGCTGTTTGTGGCCTGGACTTGAGCCAGGGTTGTGTGGGCCAGAAACCTGATGCTAGTGTTTTGGGAAAAGCATTGGATCCAGTGATTGCTAAGCCCTGCCCCAGCTCAGATCATCGGGACCCCATGTTTCTGCATCATCTTCTGTTTGTGAACAGGCACCTCGTAGGTGCTTTGATACTGAGTTCTGGCTGAATCAGAACTTCCAAGGTCACTACGCAGGAGCTGGGGTGTCCCTAGCCCTGGGCTATGAACCCCATCCCTCCTTGTTATTCTCACTAGAACTTGAGGCTCAATGGAAGATAAAAGGCAGGGATCAGAAATGTGGGAGTTGGTGTGTGGGGAAGGGGCTTGCCCAGGAGCTCCAGCATCCGTTGGGGGACCAAGAAGCAATGGAGTGGGGGAGGTTTTTGTCTGACCTTGTACAGGAGCTGTTTTTACTTTTCATAGCCAGCCTCTCTCCTGCACAGCCGCAATCCTCACTTACCAGCTAAAGAGCTGGATATTGGGGTTCTGGAGCCAGGCTGGACTTGCCTCCAATCCCAACCCTACTGTGTGGAGAGCAGTGGGACCCTCCTACTGTGCTCGTGGGACAACCACCTTATGGACCAGTTTGGCAGTTTCTTGTAACATCCCCTTATCATGTGACCCAGCAATTCCACTCCCAGGAATCTACCCAAGAGAAATGAAAATTTACGCCCACACACAAACTTACACACAAATGCTCATAACAGCATTATTCGTGACAGCCTAAGGCTGGAAGCAACCCAAATGTCCGTCCACTGGAGAATGGATACAGACATTTGTGGTCCATCCATGCAGCAGAATATTATTTGTCCACAAAAGGGTTTGAATCACCAGTGGACATTACAACATGGATGAACCTCAAAAGCATTATACCACGTGAAAGAAGCCAGCTGCAAAGGCCACCTGTTGTAGGATTCCATCTAGATGACAGGTCCAGAAAAAGGCACATCTGTAGAGTCAGCAAGCAGATTGTCAGTTGCCTAGGGCTGTAGGTGGGGATGGAAGATTGACTCCCAACAGGCAAGAGGAATCTTTTGGGGGTGGTAGAAATGTTCTAAAACTGCCTTGTGATGATGGTTGCCCAGATCTGCACATTTACTCATCAGACTGTACGCTTATAGTGAGTAAATTCTATGGTGTGTAAATTATACCTCAGTAAAGCTGCTAAAACATGCAAAAAAAAAAAAAAACCTAGAAACTCAGCCCTTGCTCCTTCCTAGCTGTGTGGCCTGGGACGATCAACTCCACTTCCTTGAGTCTCAGATTATTTATCTGTAAGATGGGAATGTAGTAAGGGAGCCTCTGAATAAGCACGTAGGGAGAATTTATGTAACAGAAGCGCATAGAAAACCCTTAGCTGGGAGCCTGGCACCTGGACAGGGCTGTGAGTCATGGGGGCTGTTCGTGTCACTTTCGTGGGTCCGAAGAGACTGTGGCTACAGAGCTCCTTGCTGATGGCTGGTGGTGGCTTCATTCGCTGGGCATTTCCAGTGCTCAGCATTCATTATACACTGTGAACATTCTCTGAGCATCACAGAGAAGTGAACGAAACAGAGCCCCTCTGCTGCAGGTGTTCAGCACCCTTTGGGGAATCAGGAGAAGACAGGTGCTTGCAACGCGGTGTGCTGGGCACGCAGGGCTGTGGGAGCCCAGGGAGGGACACCTTGGCGAGACTGGCTATGCAAGGGGCTCAACAGAGGCTGCTGCTCTTGCGTCCTTGACTGTCCTCGAAGGGCATTTACTTCCATGAACTCTGGTGAGGCTGATTCTGGTACAGGCCAGGGCGGGCAAGGCTTTCAAAGAGAAAAGGTCCCCAGCAGTGTGAGTTGAGGGTTTCTCCGAGTCTCTTCCACTTTTCTCACTTCACAGCCGGGAAAACTGAGGGCCAGAAAGGGGTAAGAACTGGCTCATGTCTCAGGTGGAAGTGGGATTTGAACGCTGTCTGACCTTGAAGTCTATGTTAGTTTGGGTCCTCCAAGAAGCAGACACCAAGGCAGTGTTGGACCAGCAGAGGTTTACTGGGGACACACCTGTGCAGGTTAAGGGAGGGGCAGGAGTGGATGGAAGAGCCTTCAGGCTGTCATGCAGGGAGGGAGAGGGAGGAAGGAAGGAAGGTTGGGCAGAAGGAGTCTGAGACAGCACAGCTCTACGAATGGCCGGGTCAAATGGAAGTCTCCTGGACCGTTGACTGTGAGAGGAGTCCGTTGTCTCGCAGGAACGGGTGGCACTAGTACGCTGGCATGCTAGGTCCTGGCTGGGAGCAGCCCAGGGGAGCATGGCATCGGTGCAAACGTGGCCTCTGAAGTTGATCAGCACTGCTCCCCTCAGCAAGGTCTTCCGAAGGAGATCTGAGTGGTGCATTTCCGTGGCCACCGCAAAGTTCCTGTGGTCTCCACCTCCCGTGTGTTCTGATAGGAAAAGCTATTTGTTTCAGGACAGCTGCAAGGTTTTGAGCTGGAAATGGAAACACTTAAGTAATCACAGGGACCACTTCCCAGGTATGTACTTAATCAGCTCTGTACTGAGCCCTTCAAATAAGTGATTCTATTTAATCCTCACAGCAACACTATGGGGGGGTGTCACTCTAGCCCCCATTTTATAGATGAGGAAACTGAGGCTCAGAGAAACCCTCAAGTCACACTGCTGGCGACCTGTGAAGCTATTGAGTGGCTATTCTAGCTCCTACCCATGGACACATGGTGGCCTAGAGCTAGGATGTGAGTTAGTCAAGACTCTTAGATGCCAGTTACTGAAAACCAAACTCAAGCTGACTTAAGCACTGGCCCACGTGAGCTGACACTCCAGGGGCAGTAGCCTCAGGCATGGATGGATCCAGGGACTTGAATGATGGGGACCTGCACTCTGCATCTCTCTGCTCCGTCTTCCTGTCTATTGGCGCCTTTCTCAGGCATGGTTGCTTCCGTCTTCAGACTTCTGCCCTTACTGCTCCTCTCCAGGCAGAACGGGGCATCTCTCTCCCATTCATTCAAATGTAAATCTAATAATCCAGTCTCATTGGTTTTGCCAGTCAGGAGTCAGTCCTGCACTGAACACTGTGGTTGGAGCAATGCGACAGGCTGATTGGCCAGGCCTGGGTCAGGTGGCTACTCCTGGAGTCCCAGGGTGGAGAGTGGGTGAAGTCCACCTCACCTCCAATATGGATGGGGGGTGGGGAGGGTGGTAACCTGGGGAAATTGGGTTCCTGAGACCAGAAGAAGAGGAGATAGCGTCTGAGCAGCTGGGACCCAGATGCTGGGGAGCTGGTGGGAAGGATGGAGGAGCTCCTGGGTGTGGTCTGCTGGCCTCTGAGCCCCTCCCCACAACGGGGTAGGCAGAAGTCCTGCAAGCCTGACCCTCCCTCCCCTTCCAGCGTCTACTGGGACTATGCCATGACCATCCGCCTGGAGGAGATTGTCTACCTGCACTGCCACCAGCAAGGTAGGGACCGTGGGGACAGGAAGGGGGCTGTGTGTTCCTCTTGGATCCCCTGCCTGTCTTCACCCCTGCCTATTCATTAGCATCATGAGACAGTGATACGGTGGGCACCGCATATTACCTGTGCAACTTTAGGCAAGTGACCTCACCGCTCCGTGCCTCAGTTTCCCCATCTGTAACGGGATTATAACAACACCCTCTCATGGGGTAGTTGTGAAGATGAAATGATGTACGTTAAGGACTCAGCATGACACCCATCTATGGCTATGGTGTTAACCGCTGACACTTACTAAGCATTGACAATGTGCCAAGCACAGTTCTGAACACTCACACGCCTGTTATTCAGTCATCATAACCACCCCGTGACAGGGGTGACATCCGTTCCATTTTGGAGGAGAGGAAGCAGCTTAGTATAAGGGTACACAGCCTGGAAGCTCCAGAGCTGGGACTGGATCCAGCTTTTTGTGACTCTAAAGTCAGTGCTCTGAAGACCTGGGGTCAGTAACTGCAGCACTCCTTTAAAGACAGAAGGAAGTACGGTACGAGTAAGCAGAGGGCCATCCTGCTTTAGAAAGAACCTGGATTCAGACCCAGACTCTGCCAGATGAGCTGTGTGACCTTGGGGAAGTTACTTAATCTCTCTGAGCTTTGGTTTCATCATTTGTAAAATAGGCAATAATAGATAGGACTCATAGGGATATTGTGTTTCAATAAGACAGCACCTCTAACATGCTGTGCTTATATTCAGTAAGTGCTCACTACGTGCTAGCCAGAGTCAGCTACTGCCCTGGGACAGGGGAAGTCTAAAGGCCTCTGTACAAAAATAGGTCAGGTAGATTTGTAGAGGATTCCTGAGGAGCGGAGGATGCTAAGGGGCATCTTTTTCTTTTGGTGGTTAATGTCAGGGAGGTCAACTCTGCTCTTCTTAACTTTGTCCTGTAGTATCCAGTCAGATACGGATGGTGAGTGAGATGGGGGAGACTCAGGGGAGGTAAACACTGCTCCTGACCTTTGCCCAGGCCTTTCCCAGAGCTCAGAGCAGGATCCCTGGGTCTGGCTTGGCACCGCTGGGGGATGTGTTTGCAGGGAGGGGCTGTCACCATGCCTCATAGTGACTTCCCACTGGGTCTTCTCTGGCTGGTGGTGGTGGCAGTGGACAGCGGCGGGACGGTGGTATTGGTCAGCCAGGACGGGATCCAGAGGCCGCCCTTCCGCTTCCCCAAGGGTGGGCACCTCCTGCAGTTCCTCTCGTGCCTGGAGAATGGGCTGCTTCCTCATGGGCAATTGGACCCGCCACTGTGGTCTCAGCGGGGGAAGGTGAGTGATCATGGGGACCCAGGGAGGCTGGGGTGGAGACTGGTCACAGAGAGTGGTTGTTTTTGCCTGTGTGCCCTTAATATGGCTTTGTGGCCTCATGTACTCCCCACTGATAGCCCAGACGGCACAGGCTGTGGGGACAGATGTGTCCCAAGGACCTTGCTTTGGGATTCGTTCTTATAGGGCAAAGTGTTTCCTAAACTGCGCAAGCGAAGCCCTCAGAGTTCTGCTGAGTCCACATCTTCAGACAAAGACGATGACGAGGCCACGGATTACGTGTTCAGGATCATCTACCCTGGCATGCAGTCAGAATTCGGTGAGCTGCCCTGACCCGGGCCCCGGGGAGTCACCTGCTGACTGATCCTCTCCAGGTGTTTGGAACTAGACTCTGACAGATCTGGATTCTGGGATTAACAGGAGGATCTGGAAACAGGAAGTCGGTTTCTTGGCAGCGTCAGTTTCACCCCAAATGGGAACAAGTAACCACCCTGTACTTGACTAATAAAGAAGCCACTGGGAGAGGTGGTCTGGGGTAGTGGCAGTGGCATAGGCTGTGGAATCCTGGCTGAACTTGGACAAGTCACCTCAGCCCTCTGTGCCTCAGTTTCCTCATCTGTAAAATGGGCATGTTCATAGCACCAGTTTCATAGAGTCATTCTGTGGATTAAACGAGATAAGGTGGCTGGGCATGGTGGCTCACACCCATAATCCCAGCACCTTGGGAGGCTGAGGTGGGTGGATTGCCGGAGCCCAGGAGTTAAAGACCAGACTGGGCAACACGGTGAAACCCCGTCTCTGCAAAAACTACAAAAATTAGCCAGGCATGGTGGCATGTATCCATGGTCCCAGCTATTTGGGAGGCTGAGGTGGGAGGATCACCTGAGCCTGGCGAGGTGGAGGCTGCAGTAAGCCTGATTGTGCCATTTCACTCCTGCCTGGGCAACAAAGTGAGGCCCTATCTCAAAATAAATGCAAATTAAAATATTTTTAAAATGAGATAAGGCATTTTGCACATAGAGAACAATCAAATTTTGTTAATATTCTACTTCCCCCCTTTTTTTTTTTTTTTTTTGAGACAGAGTCTCACTCTGTCGCCAGGCTGGAGTACAGTGGTGTGCGTGATCTCGGCTCACTGCAGCCTCCACCTCCCGAGTTCAAGTGATGCTCCTGCCTCAGCCTCCAGGGTAGCTGGGACTACAGGTTCGTGCCACCACGCCCAGCTAATTTTTGTATTTTTAGTAGAAGCAGGGCTTCACCGTGTTGGCCAGGATGGTCTCGATTTCTTGACCTTGTGATCCGCCCGCCTCAGCCTCCCAAAGTGCTGGGATTACAGACGTGAGCCACTGCACCTAGCCTACTTCATCTTGTTATATGGATTCAGTGAGATGATGAGATATATTCAGAGATATATTCAGATATATTCAGTAGTAAGTGAAGAGTAAGGCCTTGCACACAGCAGACCCTCAGTAAGTTACAGTCAAACTACGCCAGCAGAGGCGAAGCAGAGCACTCAGCACTGGCCCATGAGATGGTGGTGAACATCAAGCAGGTTGCACGGTGCCTGTCATGACACAGATGCATAGCAAATGCAAGTTCTTACTACTAAGATCATCATCGTTATGGGGCTGTTGTGAGTATTCAGTGAATTAAGATTTGGAAAGTACTTAGAAGAGGGCCTGGCGTTTATGAAGCCTTGTGTGGGTGTCTGTTAAACAAATCAGTATTGAGTGGTAGGTTCTTTCTGTTCACTTCATTTTATTTAACCTGCAGCGGCCCTGATGTTCCCATCCCATGGATCATGGCTCTGAGCCTCTCTCTGCTGAAGTAACCACGTGCTGGGCAGTCAGGCTCTCTTGAGAGCAGATGTCCACCTGGGCCAGACTGCAATCCCTTAAGCGCTGCAGAGTGTCCTGAGGTGTTCATGACCGTGTCTGTTCCTGCCCTGGATCAGGGCCTCCCAGCCACTCCATGGAACAGGTGCCCACAATCCTGGCCGGCCCCAAGGCTGAAAAGGCTCCATGTGGGAGGGTGAAATCCCCTGGGATTCTGAGCAGCTTCTGTTCTGTTGCCCAAGAGCTTGGGCTTCCCACCCCTGTGAAGACCAACAGGCATTAAGTGCTCCAGTCGAGAGCCAGTTAGCAGAGAGGGCCAGATCCCCATAGCTGCCTTCCCAGGAAACTCTACAGCTTCTCATCCGACGGGCAACATGCAGTCCCTCTAGGAGCTAGGCGGAGTGCTGTTTCATTTACTGGGAGATTCTCCATGTCCTACTGTGGCTTGATGTAGGCTAGTGGAGCAGACACTGGCTGTGCGCACCCACATCCTCAGCATTTCCCATTTTGTGCATGCTGTTCAGCTGCCAGCTGCAGCTCCCTGCCTCAGTATCTCTTTGCCTGAGGGTTTTCTCTGGCCACCAGAGTCCCTTCTGGCCAGGAATGGGGCATATTGGAAGCATCAGGGAACCAGCGCCTTCCTGGAGCAGCCCTCAGCTCATGGCTGATAGGAGTTAGTGTTTCAGTGTCCCAGCTCCCTCTCCCTTTGTGGGGCAAGCTCTGGCATGCATGTTCTGCACAGCCTCCCAGAGGGTCCGTCGGAGATTAAGCACCGTTACCCCTAGTGGCAACGTGCGTGGCACCTAACCCTTTACTCCCTCTCCTTTTCCTCCTTTGTCTCCTTTTGCCTCTCCCTTACTGACTGCCTTGGGAACTTGCACTTGGATCCTGGTCTGCCTTTGAGGAAACCCCCAACGAATTCAGTTTATCTAGAACTAGACATCTGGACCTTAGGGCTTCTGACATTGGAGATGGAATAATTCTTTGTTTTTTTTTTTTTTTTTTTTGAGACGGAGTTTCGCTCTTGTTACCCAGGCTGGAGTGCAATGGCGCATTCTCCGCTCACTGCAACCTCCGCCTCCTGGGTTCAGGCAATTCTCCTGCCTCAGCCTCCTGAGTAGCTGGGACTACAGGCACACGCCACCATGCCCAGCTAATTTTTGTATTTTTAGTAGAGACGGGGTTTCACCATGTTCACCAGGATGGTCTCGATCCCTTGACCTCGTGATCCACCCGCCTCGGCCTCCCAAAGTGCTGGGATTACAGGCGTGAGCCACCGCGCCCGGCTAATTCTTTGCTGTAGAGGGAGGTCCTGTGCATTGTGGGATGCTGAGCACCCACTAGATGCCAAGTAGCAGAATTACTTTGCTTTAAGTTATGACAACCAAATATGTCTCTAGGTATTGCCAAGTGTCCTCTGGAGGGTGGCAGAATTGCCTGTGGTTGAGAACCGTTGGTTTAGAGCAAAGAATACATCACTGTATTCAGCTCTGCCACTGCAGTGCGGTTAAGTGACCTGTCCTCTGCAGGCCTCACTTCCTTCTCTGTAGAATGGGGTAACAGCATTCCCCACCAGCATCATGTTCTGAGGAGTCAGCAAGATCATTCCTAAAACACCTGGTGACCTGGCACGGGGACTGATGCTTGGCAGATGCTCAGTGAGCAATAGTAGGTTTATGTCTTGAGTGCCACTGGGTGCTAGACCCACTTCTGTCCGCTGTCCTGCCATCCCTATCTTAATTCATTCTGTCCCCACCATAGCCCTCCCAGGCAGGTACCATTGTCATCACCATCCCCCATTTTGCAAGGAGGAAATTGATGCACAGAAGGGTTAAGCGACTGGTCCAGGATCACACAACCAATTCTTGTCATGGCTGGAATTTGAAAGCAGGAGGTCTGGCTTCAGAGCCTGTGCCTCCAACCGCCACTCCATGCATATTATGTTGACTGGCAGGGAGAGGGCATTGTGGTTTCACTGCCTTCATCCTCAAGGTCAGCTTCAACACATGTGGAAATGGTAACCACATTCTTGGTTGATTTTCTGGGGCCAGAGCCACACAGGCTCAACAAAACCAGTCATCTTACAGTTTCCATCTTTGAGAGGTATGAAGTCCTTTCTGGAGTAGTGCCTAAATCAGAAGTTGACAAGCCCCTTCCCATGGGCCAAATTTGGCCCACTCACCTGTTGTTGTAAATAAAGTTTTATTGGAATACAGCCACATCCATTCATTTATGTATCGTCTATGGCTGCTTTCGTGCCACAGCAGCAGAGGTGAATCATTGTCACAGAGATCATATGGCCCACAAAGTTGAAAGTATTTACTCTCAGGCTCTTAACAGAAGAAATTTGCAGATAATGTGTCTTAAATAATAAGAAAATAATTTCACCCTGTGGGAGGGGAGGTGTGACCGTAGATGTTTGTAAACTGCCTCTCAGTGTCCCTTCCGCCCTGTCTCCACTGGGTTCTTTGCCTGCCCCTTGTGCTCTGGGGAGGAACAGACAAGTCCCAAAATATGTAGACAGTTCACATTAGATCAGGGCATTTTCAGACCCCTCTGCTTCTGAGATTGTCTCTGTACTGTCTAGCAGGGTAGCCATGTGCTACATGTGGCTCTTGAGCACTTGAAATGTCACCAGGGCTAATGGAGATGTGCTAGAAGTGTAAAACACACACATGATTTTGAGACTTTGTAAAAAAAAAAAAGTCTCAATAGTTTTATATTGATTATATGTTAAAATAGTAACACTTTGGATAGATTAGGTTTGACAAAATATATTGTTGGAATTGATTTTACCTGTTCTTTTAAACTTTCAATGTGGCTACTAAAATTTTTGAATTGTACTGGGTGCAGTGGCTCACGTCTGTAATCCCAGCACTTTGGAAGGCTGAGGCGGGCAGATCACGAGGTCAGGAGATTGAGACCATTCTGGCCAACACGGTGAAACCCCATCTCTACTAAAATACAAAAAATTAGCTGGGCATGGTAGCATGTGCTTGTAATCCCAGCTACTCTGGAGGCAGAGGCAGGGGAATCACTTGAATTCAGGAGGCGGAGATTGCAGTGAGCCAAGATCTTGCCACTGTACTCCAGCCTGGTGACAGAGTGAGACTCTGAATCAAAAAAAAAAAAAAAAAAACATATGTGGCTCAATTGTAATTTTTTTTTTGGAGGCAGGCTCTCGCTCTGTTGCCCAGGCTGGAGTGCAGTGGTATGATCATGGCTCAGTGCAGCCTCAACCTCCGGGGCTCAATCGATCCTCCCACCTCAGCCTCCTGGGTAGCTGGAACCACAGGCATAGGCCACCACACCTGGCTACCTTTTTTTTTGGATTTTTCATAGAGATGGGGTTTTGTCGTGTTGCCCAGGCTGGACTTGAACTCCTGGGCTGAACAATTCACTTGCCTCGGCCTTTCAAAGTCCTGGGATTGCAGGCGTGAGCTCCTGCCTGGCCCCTTGATTGTGTTTCTCTTGGATAGTGCTGGTCTAGTGTGGGGTTTCTTAACCCTCAGCACTGTTGGCATTTAAAGCGGAATAATTCCTTGTGTGGGGGTTGCCTTGTGTATTGTAAGATGTTGAGCAGCACCCCTGGCCTCCAGCTGCTAGATGGCAGTCGCACCTAATGAATCCTCAAGGCATGAGAACCCAAAGTGTCTCCCGACATAGACAGGATTGCCCTGGTTGAGAACAGATGGTGTGGAGGGATAAGTATCTATGGGAAACCAGCTGAGGGAGAAAGAGTAAGATCAGAGTCAGGTCCTCAGGCCAGGCACAGTGGCTCATGCCTGTAATCCCAGCACTTTGGGAGGCTGAGGCAGGAGGATGGCTTGAGCCCAAGAATTCGAGACCAGCCTGGGCAACATGGTGAAACCCCGTGTCTACCAAAAATTTTAAAACATTAGCTGGCCATGTGCCAGTAGTCCCAGCCACTCAGGAGACTGAGTCTGGGAGATCAGGGCTGCAGTGAGCCATGTCTGTACCTCGTTGGGAACCTGGCTCTTCTGCTTATTAGCTGGGTGGTCTTGGGCATGTTGCTTAAACTCTCCATGCCTGTTTTCTAATCTTATGTAAAAGAGAATACTGATAGTACTGTACTCAGTAGGGACAGCTGTTTTTAGCGGAAAGAGGAGAGGGACTTTCGTCAAAAAGACTAGATATGTCTGTTACTACCTGACAGGGCTTTGGGTGATTAAGTTGTACAATTAAGTTTTGCCATCATTCTGAGCCTCAGTTTCTTCTGAAAAACAGAAGAAGGAGGATGCATCCCTACAGGGTCGTGAAGGACAGTAACTGCTTTCCTTAGGTTTGCTCAGGTCGCAAACTGCCTAGCCTGACACTCAGCACATAGTAGGCAATTTATAAAAATCAGCGTTTTTTTCTTTTAATTGAACACAGGATATGTGGAAGTGGTGTGGAGCTGGGCAAAGGGAGGGTTGGAGCCCCCAGGAATTGGCTCTTCTAGCTGCCTCAGTTTCCTGGCCACTGCAGAACCCCCACCTCACTGGTTCTTTTCGTTTTGCGTCTCAAGTTGCCTCCGGCCTCTTGGGCAGCACTTCCCCCGTCTCTGTGGGCCCTGCCTGGATGATGGTTCCTGCAGGCCGGTCCATGCTGGTGGTGGCCAGAGGGAGTCAGTGGGAACGAGCCAGATGGGACACCACTCTCCCCACGCCGAGCCTGAAGGAGCAGCTTCCCAGTAAAGCCTGGGATCTCCCCTTCCCCAGGGGTTGGTTGCCAGCCACCTCTGCCATGTTGTCATTTGAGTCCTGGTCCCAAGGGAGATGGAGGCAGGAAGGGAGATGGAGGCAGAGAGATTGATGCCCTCCTGCTGTCCAGCCTCCACCCTACAGAAGGCAGCTTGCAATGTTGTAGGTTCAGTAGCAAAGGGATCAATTGGTGATGTCTGTGTGGATGTGAGTGTGAGAGGCTGGGAGGGGGGGAAAGCATGGTTGCCATACTTGGACCAAACTGGTCAGTGCATCCCTGAGATTGGCTAAGAACTGTAGGGGCTATTTTTCTAGAACATTTTACAGGGGCTTATTGGACTTTCTTGGCTAGCTCATGGGTGAGACTACATGGGGAAGGATAGTGTAGCAAGCCGTATTTGGTGATTGCAAGAACTACATCATCTAGGCAGCTCCCTCTTCTGTCAGTAGGTAGGGGCTGACCTTGTCAGCTACTGAGCACTCTGATGGAAAGAGGACCCGTTCCACAACTCTGCCTTACCTTGGGGCCCAAGGGAAGAGTCAGGGTATTACCAGTTGTCCTGTGGGCACCATGACATATGGGGGGAAAAGTGTGCAACCCTCTTCATTTCCTGCAGCAGGGATTATAAAACTAAGATTCGCGGGCTAAATTCAGCTGTGTTCTGTAGGAGCCTATGAGCTAAGATTGGTTTTTCAAATTTTAAATGATCTTAAAAAGCCAAAAGGAGAGTAGTATTTTGTGACATGAAAATGACGGGACATTCACATTTCAGTATTTATAAATAAAGTTTTATTACAATGTTTGCATGCTTCCTTTTTTACATTTTGTTTAGGGCTACTTTTGCACTAAAGCAGAGTCTGGTGCTTATGACCGAGACCAAATGGCTTACAAATGCTAAAATATTTACTAGCCGTCCCTTTACGGAAAAGCTTTATGGATCCCTGTTTTAAAGAAAATAAAGCTTTTGCACCTGTCTAGGACTACCGAGAGGCCAGGAAATTGACTATAAAAATTATAGTGCTTATGTCCCCATTATTTTTGTTATGTGGTTTTGTAGACACTGCAGCTTCTACACAGCTGAAAAAGAAAAATAAATAAAGGAAGCCGTGGGTGCTGTATCCTGAGAGAGGCTGGTCAGGAATCACCAGCGTCCAAAAGTTAGGAAATCAGAGTCTGTCGAATGCACCTGCTGCCTCAAAATTGCTTTAGAAATATAGAGTTGAGAGCTCTGTCTCCAGGATTAGTTGAGTAGGCCAGGAGTGTGGGGCAGGCATATTGCTTTTTAACAAGCCTCCCACATGATTTTAGGGAGTCGCTAGTATGTTTAAGACCTGCTTAGTGGAGCACCTTTAGCCTCAGAACCATGCACAGCGCAGGTGTCTTCATCAGCAGGGGCTTCACCGGGTCTCTTGTCCTAGAATGCCCTGCCTTATCTGTTGAGTCAGGCTCCCTTCTATCTCACCCATGAGGCCTGTCTCTTCTCCAGAATCACCCAGCAGGCTCCCCTTCCCTCCTGCAGCATCCTGTGAGTGTGACTAAGTGACAACATGGCGAGGCTTGGCCTTCTGCTGTGGGTTTGGGCCTGTCCCCTTGGCTATTGCCTCTCTGTGTCATCTTCTTCTCTCTTTGGCTATCATCAGCTCTGCCCATCTGCTGGGGCCCCAAATTTTGGTGGTGGCTTTCACCGGATCAGGCAGACTCAAGGATGATTGGGGCTGCTGTTTCCTACTGTCACCCTCAGGGTCTTTTCCTATCTCTGTGCTGGCTAGGGTGGGTGAGCTGCTTGCTCTGGGGTGATGTCTCTGTGACCCTCTTAGGTTTAACCAGGATGATTCTTCTGCCCCCACTTCTATCCACCACAGTCCCCCAGGATCTGATGGATGTCTCTGTGAGCAATCTCCCGTCCCTATGGCAACCCAGTCCCCGGAAGTCCTCCTGTTCATCCTGTTCACAGAGTGGCTCGGCTGATGGTAGCTCAACCAATGGCTGCAACCACGAGAGGTACGAGGGGCTTGGGCTGCAGATGGAGGGAGCTGAAGCATGTACCAGAGATCTGTAGATGCCCATACCTCACCCTGCACTGAATTCAGAGGAGTCAGCCAGATCTACGCGACATCCTAGCTGTGGGAGCTTACATGTACTAGTCAGGTTAAACAAGGTTGTGGTGCAGAAACAAACAGTGCTAAAACCTCAGTGGCATTTTTTTTTTTTACAACGGAAGTTTATTTATCATGCATGCCATGCTTCTATCATGGGTCAGCTGGTGGCTCTGTTTTTTCCACAGTAAAGGGCCTGGACTTTACAACTACCATCTTGAATGTTGCCAGTCACAGCGACAGGGAAAGGTGGCTCTGCAGGGGCTTTAACCCACAATAAAAAGGCTCTGCCCAAAAGCAGCACATGTCATATCCACTCACACTCCACTGGCCCCGTTAACAAGGGGACTGTAAGTGCAGCCCTACCATACACCTGGAAGGCAGAATAATCCCAGAAATACTATTTAATGACAACCGCTTCCCAGTTTGCTCCTCCACACAGTGGAAATTCCTATTCTTACTTTATATGCCTGTGGTAAGGACCAGCTCAAGTATTGGTTTAACGTGGCCACGGTGTGGCACCTGCACATGGTACTATTCAGTAAATGACACTTACTGTCTTGCTGTGTAAAGTTAAATCTCAAGTGCATCTCTTGTTTGCCCGTAGATCTTTGGTCTCTTTGGAACTATACAGCCAATTCATGAGACTGGTTTTGTTTCCCTCTGGTACAACCTGGCCTGGCCTGAGAGAATGGAACCCTTTTGTCCTTGCTGGGCTTCTGTCTCAGTGGGTGGTCCAGTCATCAGCCATAAGATGTAAGGGATGGGGGCTGGCATCAAATTTTTGAAGCCATCCAATTCCTGGTTCTGCAGGGTGTGATCTGTGAACCAACATCAGCACCTGGGCAGATTCTCAGTCTCTCATCCCAAACCTCCTGAATCAGAACCTGTATTTAACATGGTCTCAAGACCATGTGTATGCTTTAAAGTTTGAGAAGTGCTGATATTACTGAGATTTTCTTTTTTTCTTTTCTTTTTTTTTTTTGGAGACAGACTCACTCTCTCTGTTGGCCCAGGCTGGAGTGCAATGGCATGATCTTGGCTCACTGCAACCTCTGCCTCCCAGGTTTAAGTGATCCTCCTGCCTCAGGCTTCAAAGTAGCTGGGACTACAGGCACGTGCCACCATGCCTGGCTACTTTTTGTATTTTTAATAGAGCTGGGGTTTCACCATGTTGACCATGCTGGTCTCGAACTCCTGACCTCAAGTGATCTGCCTGTCTCGTCCTCCCAAAGTGCCAGTATTACAGATGTGAGCCACTGCGCCCGGCCTGGAGATTCTCTTTTGTTGTTGAGACAGAGTCTTGCTCTGTTGCCCAGGCTGGAGTACAGTGGCACGATCTTGGCTCGCTGCAACCTCTGCCTCCCCGGTTCCAGTGATTCTCCTGTCTCAGCCTCCCGAGTAGCTGGAATTACAGGCATGCGCCACCACACCCAGCTAATTTTTGTATTTTTTAGTAGAAATGGGGTTTCCACCATATTGGCTAGGCTGGTCTCAAACTCCTGACCTTGTGATCCTCCCACCTCAGCCTCCCAATGTGCTGGGATTATAGGCATAAGCCACCATGCCTGGTCGAGATTTTCTTATTGTACATCAGAATCACCTGGGCCAAGTGGCAAAACGTATCAGTTCATGGACCATTTCCTAGAGGTCCTGGCTGAGTAGGTATGTGCAGGGCCCAGGAATCCATATGCTGGAGAAACTCCAGGTGACTCTTGGGCTGATGGTCCATGGACCAGTGAGAAATGCTGCTATAACCCTTTGCTCCCTCTCCTGTTAATAACATCTGCTTATACACATGGAGTGATAGAGAGCTCACTATCTTGCAGAAAGCCAGGTCAACAGTGGGAAAGCTGTTGATGTGATCCTGTTCTCATGTAACCTGAGCAAGTCTGAGCCTCACCAATGTGAGGGCACAAAGGGGGACTCTTCACTGTTGAATGCGCCTAACTACACAAAGGGGGACTCTTTACTGTTTTTGTTTGTTTGTTTTAATAAAGATGGGGGTTTCACCATGTTGGTCAGGCTGATCTTGAACTCCCGACCTCAGGTGATCCACCTGCTTTGGCCTCCAAAGTGCTTGGATTACAGGCGTGAGCCACCACGCCCGGCCCTCTTTACTGTTTAATGCGCCTAACTGGAGGACTTCAGCTATGCTCCTCCTGCCCTGCCCCAGTCTGCCTGTTTTTCTGGATGTCTCTTGGGATGTCCTGAGAAAAAATACGCAGATATTCTTCCATTCTATCCTTTAGGTGAGTGTATAGCATTCCCTTCAACAGTCCTGGATTTCTCCACCAATGCTAGAATCTGACTCCTCTCACCTCTTTCAGCCAAAAAAGTTCCCCAAAATTCCCATGTAAGAAGCTTTGAGACATCACCTACTTGGCAGTCAGCCAGACTCTGAATCCCAATTTGGCTCAGCTTGGTTCAGCTGGGTCACTTTGGAAATCAGAACTCTTTCTGCAAGTGATAGAAACCGACTTCAAACTGGATCAGGTGAAAAAGAAAATTTGTTGGCATCACTGAGACGTCCAGAGGCACAGTGGCTGCAGGCGTGGCTGGATACAGATGTTGAAACAGGAATCTCTGTTTCTTCAGCTCTTGGCTCTGCTTGTCTCTGTGATGGTTCCATCCTCAGGCAGGCCCTTCCTGTGCATTGGCAAAGATGACTCCCAGCAGCCACTGCCTTATATCCCACGGGCTTAGAAACCCAAGCAGAAAAGTGGAATTCCTAGTCATTGCAGCAAAAGTCCCACGGCTGATTCTCATTGGCTCAGGTTGGGTAATCTCTGCCCCAATCACTATGACTCCAACCTGGGTTCTGTAGTGGGCAGTCATCCCCATACAAACCACACAGGCAGAGAGTTGTGGAGAGTGTGATTTCTCAAGGGAAAATCGGGGTGCTGGGAGCAGAAGGGGCAATGATACTGCACAGGTAGAGGTGATAGCAGCCCTCCCTACAGTTCCCCTGAATGGCTGATTTGAACCTGTCCTCTAGAGATAACGCACGGTGCTCTTCTCCAGAAAATCTGGGCTGTATTTAGATCTATTCTAAGCATCTCCCTCTTTCTCCCCCTGCAGGGCTCCCCTGAAACTTCTCTGTGACAATATGAAGTACCAGATCCTCTCCAGAGCCTTCTATGGATGTACGTATAGGGCTTCATTGCCACTGTGGTCTTCATGGAGCCGCTGTTGGTGCCTGCTATATGCCAGCAACATCAAGAGATATTGGCTCTTGATGGAGTTTGAACCTCTCCTCCTCTATTCCCTAGATGTCTGGTTTCAGTGACGTTACATGAACCTCTCTGAGCCCCAGTTTCCTTGTCTAATGATTGGGGATAAATTTTATTCCTGGGTCCTAAGAGACGACAGTGGACAGTGGGGTCCCCTGGGGAACAGAGATTTGGTTTAATCACCACTGCATCCCCAGGTGCCACAGTGGAGGACTCGTTTCTCAGGATTGAATGAGGACCACGCAGAAAGCCCCTAGTGCCTGATATTGCATGCTGTAGGTGCTCAATAAATGTCAGTTTCCTTCCCTCATGGGCAGAAGCAGCAGAAAGAGTAAGGTGACCATATCCCTACCCCAAAACTTAAATATTAAATTCATAGTACTCATATTCTGATTATTCTCATTTAACAGATGAAGACACTAAGGCACAGAGAGGCAGAATGACTTGCCTAAGGTCACACAGCTAACCAGTGGCAGAGCTGGGACTCAGACCCTGGCCTGTTTGACTCCAAAAGTGTTGTGTTTTCCTCTCTGCTGTCTCTCTTTTTTTTTTTTTTTTTGAGACAGAGTCTTACTCTGTCTCTGTCACCTAGGCTGGAGTGCAGTGGCGTGATCTCAGCTCACTGCAACTTCTGCCTCCTGGTTCGAGTGATTCTCCAGCCTTAGCCTCCCGAGTAGCTGTGATTACAGGTGTCCACCACCACACCCAGCTAATTTTTGTATTTTTAGTACAGATAGATTTCACCATGTTGGCCAGGCTGGTCTCAAACTCCTGACCTCAAGTGATCCGCCCACCTCGGTCTCCCACAGTACTCAGATTACAGGTGTGGGCCTCCACGCCCACCTGTCCCTGCTGTCTTGATTTTTTGGTTTTATTTCCCCAGCTTCACAGCCTAGGTGGGGAAGATGGGTACGTATTTTCAGGGATCCTAGAAACATCTTAATAAAACCTGTATGGGCCTGAGTGCCTGGAGAGGCAGGGAGAGTGTAGCTCTACTGGGAGACGGGTTTTATCTGTTCTGTTGCCACCTGTCCTCAGTGCCTCATGCAGGACCTGACATGAAGCAGCATTGGGGAAGCATTTATTGGACCCAAATGGAAGATCTTCCTGCAGGAAGGGGTGGGGGTCGGGATGGGTCTGGAACAATGTCATTGGACAATGTGGCTCATCCCTAACAGTGATTGAGAACCCAGGTTCTGGAGCCAGGTGGCCTGGCTTCAGATCCCAGCAATGCGACTTGGGCAAGTAACATAACCAGTGTGTACGTCAGTTGACCCCATCTGTAAGATGGAGCTAAAAATAGTGGGTAGGATGGGATGGGTTAAGTTACGCAACCCTGGGAACAGCTCCCTGCCATGTAACGTGTGTTGTGTAAATGTGAGCTATTATATCATCGTCCTCCTCATCATCCTCACCATTCTCATCGCCGAGTGTCTCTTTTGTTAAAGTGTAGTCTGCAGTCTCCAGAAGGTCCAGGGTTCTCTCTGAGAATTTAGGATGAAATAGCCTTGGGGAGCCAGAAGGAGGGGCGCAGCCAGAGCAAACAGCACAGGCTGGAATTTGCTGAGGCGCTTGACCCAACACCCTCCAGGTGCCAGCGTGGGCCAGATATAAGGGGTGGCACATTGGTGGGCATGCTTTAAGAAGGCAGGGCAGGCCGGGCGCAGTGGCTCACACCTGTAATCCCAGCACTTTGGGAGGCCGAGGCAGGTGGATCATGAGGTCAAGAGATCGAGACCATCCTTGTCAACATGGTGAAACCCCGTCTCTACTCAAATTAAAAAAAAAAAAAAGAAGGCAGGGCAATCTTTGAAAGCAAACTTGGTGCCCCTTCAACATCTCCCTGGTTACTGACTTGGAGGTCTTTCTAATCCAGCTACAATTTTTATATTTTTTAAATTTTTAATTTAAAATTTCTATTTTTATTTTAGTTTTTGAGACAGGGTCTCACATTGTCACCCCAGCTAGACTGCAGTGGCACCATCATGGTTGACTGTAGCCTCTACCTTCCTGGCTCAAGTGATCCTCCCACCTCAGCCTCCTGAGTAGCTGAAATTACAGGCATGCACCACCATGCCTGGCTAATTTTTTTTTTTTTTTTTGTATTTTAGTAGAGATGGGGTTTCACCATGTTGGCCAGGGTGGTCTCGAGCTCCTGACCTTGTGATCCGCCTGCCTCAGCCTCCCAAAGTGCTGGGATTACAGGCGTGAGCCCCCGCACCCGGCCACCAAGCTAATTTTTTGTAGAGATGTAGTCTCACTGTTGCCCAGGCTGGTCTTGCATTACTGAGCTCAACACATCTGCCCACCTAGACTTCCCAAAGTACAGGGATTACAGGCTTGAGCCACTGTGCCCCGCCCTGTTTTCAATTTATTTTTTAAAAGATGTATTGTACATATTTTTAGGAATACATATGATATATTGATAGCTGTTTCTTTGTGTACTGATCAAGCCTGCATAATGGTGAAATTCATTACTTTCAAACATTTATCTTTGGGGAGCATTACAGTCCTTCTTTAATAGCTATTTTGAAATACACATAAATTCTTAACTATAATTTCCCTGCTGTACCATCCAATACAAGAATGTATTCCATCTAACTATATTTTTGTACCATTAACCAACATCTCTGCATCCTCCTCCTACTCCCTTCCCTTTCTAGCTCCTGGTAAGTACCAGTCCACTCTCTACCTCCATGAAAACTACCTGTTTAGGTCCCATATATAAGTAAGAGCATGTGATATTTGTCTTTCTGTGCCTCGTGTCTTTTGCTTAACATAACCTCCAGTTGCATCCATGTTGCTACACATGACAGGATTTCATTCTTTTTTATGGCTGAATAATATTCTGTTGCATTCATCTACCACAATTTCTTTATCCATTCATTCGTTGATGGACACTTAGGTTGATTCTGTATCTTGGCTAGTGGGAATGGTGCTGCAGTAAACACGAGGGTGCAGATATCTCTTTGTTATGCTGATTGCCTTTCTTTCGGATAAATGCTCATTCAGCTGCAATTTGAACAGGAGTTGTCCACATTTCACATTCTCTTTCTTGCTGTATGAATTAGAGACAGACAGAGGCACAACAAGCCCACAGAGTCACTGGCCACCTTCCTTTCTGCCCTTTCTCTGCCTCTAGCCTATGAATTAAATGCTTTGGCTTGGAGCAGAGAACTGGGGGCCATCACCCTGACTGAGGCTGAGAAAGGTGATAAGGCTTCCCCAGGGTCATAGTGCTATTTACAGTCCAGCCAGCAAGTGCGTCAAGCCCCATCTTCCTTGTCTAGAAAAGGGAAAGTTTGGCGGGGCGCGGTGGCTCAAGCCTGTAATCCCAGCACTTTGGGAGGCCGAGGCGGGTGGATCACGAGGTCAGGAGATCGAGACCATCCTGGTCAACATGGTGAAACCCCGTCTCTACTAAAAATACAAAAAAAACATTAGCTGGGCATGGTGGCGCGTGCCTGTAATCCCAGCTACTCAGGAGGTTGAGGCAGGAGAATTGCCTGAACCCAGGAGGCGGAGGTTGCGGTGAGCCGAGATCGTGCCATTGCACTCCAGCCTGGGTAACAAGAGTGAAACTCCGTCTCAAAAAAAAAAAGAAAAAGAAAAGGGAAAGTTTACAAGAATTCACTGAGTTGTGGAGTTCAGTAAGATCCAGCGTGGGCCAGGTGCAGTAGCTTGTGCCTGTAATCCCAGCACTTTGGGAGGCCAAAGCAGGAAGATCACTTGAGGCCAGGAGTTCGAGGCCAGCCTGGACAAGATGATGAAACCCTGTCTCTACAAAAAAAAAAAAAAAAAATTACCAGACGTGCTGGCACATGCCTCCAGTCCCAGCTACTCGGGAGGCTGTGGTGGGAGGATTGTTTCAGCCTGGGAGGTTGAGGCTGCAGTGAGCCGAGTAATAGAGCAAGACCCTGTCTCAAAACAAAAATTTAAAAAGATGGGGGGTGGGACACCATTTGGGAAGCCCCATGAGATAAGGTGAGAGGCTTCAGGTGGTGGATAATGACACTTTCCCTCCCTCCCTCAACAGGGCTGGCCTACTGCAGGCATCTGTCCACCGTGAGGACCCACCTGTCAGCCCTGGTCAATCACAGGATCGTGTCTCAGAACTTGCCCTGCGATGCTGGACAGGGGCTGACAGCCGGGATCTGGGAGCAGCACCTTCAGGATAGCACAGTAAGGCTCAGCCAGGCTTGCTCTGCAGTGATGCAGAGGCTGCAGGGGGCCATCTTATTACCTGAGAAATAAGCCCACCTGCTTGTGGGGACTCTAGCTGATGTGCTTGGATTCTGCATATGCAAATTGGAGTTCTCCTTTTCTTGAGAGTTCCAAGACCTACAACTCACTTCGGCCCATGAGCGTGGAGACTGAATGGGAGGTAAAACATGCTGACCTGGAAGGAGTAAAGAACAAATCGGTCTGTAAGCATTTATCATTAACCGTCCTCTGAGCCGGGCGCGGTGGCTCACGCCTATAATCCCAGCACTTTGGGAGGCTGAGGCGGGCGGATCACTTGAGGCCAGGAGTTCAAGACCAGCCTGGCTAACATGGTGAAACCCTGCCTCTACAAAAATACAAAAATTAGCTTGCCGTTGTGGTTGAGTACACCTAAGAGTAAAGTAAAATAGGTTTTTAATATTGGAATGTGACTAGATGGGACGGAAGAGGCCCCGGGGCCCTTCAGGACAGCCCTCTAACGCCATCGCCACTTCCCATAACGCATGTGCAGTGAGAACCTGCTGGCCCCATAGCTGTACTAATTGTAACCGCAAAACCTTTGCCTGTAAATGAAATTTTAAAAGAGACACAAACTCAACTCCATATCACATACCTGTTAAAACCATCCTAGTGTGTACAAAAGACATTAGTGCATAAAGTAGTAGCTACAGTTGTTCATTTTGGATTAATTTGCTTTAGAGAAATTTTCTTAGAGCTGAGTCAAGATTAATAATTGCAAGATAATATTTTCTTTTCTTTCTTCTTTCTTTTTTTTTTTTTAAGATGCAGTTTTGCTCTGTGGCCAGGCTGGAGTGCAGTGGCATGATCTCAGCTCACTGCAACCTCTGCCTCCTGAGTAGCTGGGACTGCAGGCGTGCGCCACCACACCCAGCTAATTTTTTATATTTTAGTAGAAACGGGGTTTCACCATGTAGGCCAGGCTGGTCTCCAACTGCTGACCTCAGGTCATTCACCTGCCTCAGGCTCCCAAAGTGCTAGGATTACAGGGGTGAGCCACCACACCCAACCAATAATATTTTCAAATAAGCATAAGACAAAAACGGCTGAAAATTAATTGAAATATTAATTCCTTATAGCCTGCCCTTTCTCTTTTTATGAAAACGGGCTCATACTATGTATGTTTTACCACTTACTTTTTTTTCACTTAACGCTACACATTGAGCACTTTTTTATGTGGGTCCCCATAGATGCACCCCTCGATCTTTTACAGTGCTGTGTTGCGTACTTGTGTAGGGATGCACGTTCACCCATTGCTGGGCAGTTGGAAAGTTGCCTGGGCTTGGCTTTTTCGTACGATGCCACAACAAATAACCAAGTACCTATGACTTTGCCTATTCAGGCCAGGGTATCTGAGGGCTAGGTCCAAGAAACAGGACTGCTGGATCACGGAAGTAGATCATAATGATACAGTTAGGATGTTGCCAATTAGTTTTCTAGAAGGGAAGGTGCACAGGAGTTGAGGAATATTGGTAAGAAGATAGCTCAGGGCGGCCGGGCGTGGTGGCTCTATACCTGTAATCCCAGCACTTTGGGAGGCTGAGGCGGGTGGATCACCTGAGGTCGGGAGTTTGAGACCAGCCTGGCCAACATGGTGAAATTCCATCTCTACTAAAAATACAAAAATTAGTTGTGTGTCAGGTGCTGGTAGTCCCAGCTACTCAGGAGGCTGAGGCAGGAGAGTCGTTTGAACCTGGGAGGCGGAGGTTGCAGTGAGCCAAGATTGCACCACTGCACTCCAGCCTGGGTGACTGAGTGA